CTGTCTTATACACAGCACTTATGTGTGTATAGTTCAGAGGTCTGGGGGTGCACACGTGCACCCTAACACTTTCCAGAGAAAGCGTACTAAATTACTCAGGAAAAATAGGTTGCTAGTGATCAAACTAATGTAACTAATGTAGATTCATTTCAGAAAGATATATTAGAGTATCTCAAAGGCAATGTTCAACTCAAGGAAAATTCAGACCAATAATTACTGTACAATCAAGATCAGCAAAGTCTAACACACATTAGTAAGAATCAGAAGATCCCATGCAAACTGTAACCATCAAAATGAATACAGTGATCTGAACTTAACAGTTACCACAAAAATTATGACTAATAAAAAAAAAGATATTAAAACCAATGAAATGGAACTTGCGTGATAAAATGCAAATAGATATGAAAGAAGCCATTCATATATGGATGTCTACCCACAAATCACAAGAGAGAAGCGGTATACAGGACATTTTCCAACAAATGGAGTTTGTCTGCTTCAACAGACCATTAAAATAAATGCTGCCTTTCATGGCCTGTATAAAGCAGTCATAGAATTACATATTAAAACCCAGGCCCCCGTCCTGTACTCGATCCCTGCAGGCAGATCCCTGCACACATGCAGAGTCCCACTGACTTCACAGGCCTCTACATAGGCACAAAAGTCCAGCCATGTGGATCCAATTGTGGAACTGGGACTCTAGTCAGGGAAAATGTCTGGCAATAAACATACAGGTCTCCCCACTCTCTTTTAGATTTGTACCAACATACCGGCTATATTTAAATCTAACCTTTCAGAAAATTGTTTAAAATTGAGATCTATAAGCAGTGCAGAATGCTTGTTACTACTTCTGCAGTTTCAAAGCATTACGTGAAAGGTACTTTATCAAACAGTGAAATAGATCATCTTAACTGATATTTATCAGCACAGCTCCACTGCCTGTAATGGAACTACACCAATATACACTAGCTGAGAATCTAGCCAGAGAATCCCAAGCTCATTTTGTCCAACTCTTAAAACAGCCACATAGCATCCAATCCTGCTCCTATTTAAGTCAATAGCTGGCCCCTGTTTTATTAGTAGGAGCCAAGTTATTTGAGAAGAATGCATTATTCCTATAACACTTTTTTTAAAATGTAGAAAGAGGTCAAATATATTCTTGGTGATGAATGAAGACAGTCAGAAAGGGGTTAAAAGCAGCCAAGGGAGGCTGGTTGGGAAGTCAGACACATGTGTGGTTGCACCCAATTAGGGCACAGTTGGCCTGGATAAAAGGGCAGGCTGAGAGAGGAGACTCTTGCTCCAGCTGGGGAGCAGAGAGGACCAGGCTACCTGGGAGAGCAAGCAGGCTACGTGAGACAGAGCAGGGCTGGGGAAGGGCAGAGCAAGCTGAGGAGTTCTGGCCTGGTGAGTCCCCAGGCTGAGGCCTTGCTAAAGGCCAGGGGAGGTACTAGAGCTGCAGGGAGGCAGCTGGGGCTAGAAAGGCAGCAGGTCCACCCCTTGACAGTAATGAGTGGCCATTTCAGACTGCAGTTTGCTCCTGAGGGAAGTGGCTAGATGACGACTGGCAGTAGCCTCTGAGGCAAGATGGGTATAGGGGGTTGGGGCTCCCTTGGGAGGGGAGACAGAGTGTGGGGGCAGTACTGTGAGGCAGTACCCCAAGGTAAGGGGCACTGGAGTCCGGGAGGGACATGGGGCCAGAGGTGGAGACAAAAGGGCAGGTAACTGAGGATGAGAAACTGTCCAGAGGAGGGCGCTCCTGAGCTGGATGAGCTAATTCCCGGACTGAACAGTAGGAGGCGCTGCACCGGTGAGTCAGCGCTCTGCTACATGGTATTACACCAATTTGACCCAAAGTTTCTTGCTGCAGAATTCTCTCTTCCTTAAGACACTTCTGTTTCCTTTTTGACTTGAACTCATTTCCTTGATTCTTCTAGGATTTCTTCCAAGACTGCTTTTCCATCAAATGCTAAAGCAGAGTTTATTTTCGTTTTTTAATTGGAGGAAACTTGCTTAACTTTTGTTGGTTGTCCATTTTAATGGATTAGAAAACTAGATCACTGAATTGTTTACAGTTTATTTGATTCCCTTCCTAATGACAACACTAACTATCCTCATCTTGAATAATTTTCCTATAGTTTAGTTATTTATTTTTAGCAGCACTGTGATAAAAGTTTGAGTTAAAGAAAGTGCTCTGAGCAGCTCAGACAGAGAATGATGAAAACAGAATATATGTTGGAAAATGGGCAAGTTCACCAATACCATCTTGAGATAGTAACAGAAAGTGGTGAAAAATTAGCTAGAATTATAGTAACTAGATACAGGAGGGGAAAAATAAATCCCCAAATGAGTTAGTTTAAACTATTTTTAAAAATTCTTTAAATAATCAGACTAACTAGAATGGATTATGAAACTGATTTCCAAACAGGATATTTAACACCCACTTTAAAATTATTCAGAAATATTACATTAAAAGAACAAAATGGGCACCTTAAATTATAACAGCAAATCTATCTAGCAGAACAGGAAAAGGATTACAACGAGCCTGACTCTGGGAAGTTTACAGGGAGTTTTGTTCCAGGCTATTTTACCTAATACTGTTTTGAACAAGATAGTTCTTTATAAGACCACAGCATACGAATCCCAACAAAGAAAGAAACTGTTCATGTATCTGCTTAATGAGGTTTGGGGCTCAGCCTTGTAAGTGTAATAAACTGACTAAGAAAGGGATGGAAGGAAAGGGAAATAAGCCCAATGGCAGAAAGATGGTTCATCCAAGTCGAAACATTTATGGAACCTAATTTTTTAGACTTCTATTTACAATAGATACACTGCACTGAAGCTTAATCAGACTATCTGAGGCCTTTTCAAAATCAGATAAGCAGAATCTGGTGGCTTCAAAGCTAAGAAGGACCACGAGTTTGGGAGCAGACTTGTGATTTTCCCGCAAAAAGGAGGATGATAATGGTTCCTTCTGCTCGGTGAATAATTCCTTCTAGTTTATTTATGGTATGGTGAAGATGGCAGCCTTAGAGGTCACTACAGTTAGTTCTTTATCCCAGCTACAGTTAAGCATTATGTGAATAATGGGTTTTTCAATTCATTGGCAATTGTCCCGCCCCCCAAAAAAATCAAACAAAATTTGTTTCAGATCAAATGAAAGAGTTTGCTTTAATTTTGAGCATTTCATTTTTTTAATTTTAATAAATTGGAAGGAAATTTCTCACAAGCCATTTCAAACCAAAAAATCTAACCATTTCATTTCAAAGATGTAGTCATAACATTTAGACTTGTAGAGGGGTGGGGTGTGGGTGTGTGTTGATACAACACACACAATTCATGAAAAACGACAACTTCTTAAAATTGTTCTCTGTTGCTACATTTTTCACCAAAAAAATTTCACCCAGCTCCAGTGAGCACTGTGATGGTAACTGCCAACAAGTGCTCAGGGGCCATAATGGGGAGTAGTGATCTGGGGATCTGTACAATTTATTAACTCTGTATGCATCATTACCAAGCTGCAAACTCCCTTCTTAATATGGAGGCTAAGTATCTTCTGTTTTTTTTCCCCTTTATGTTGGATTTGAAATGCCAAAGCTGCTGACACAAGAGGGTTGCTGAATTCAGTGTTCAGCTACTGAAATGTAATTGCTTATTGCTCTAGACAAAAGACTGGCTCTGACCATGAAAACTGATTTGTCAGGGAGAAGGTCACCTGACAACAAAGTGTCCTGGATTTGCCTCCTCAGATGTCACCTCACAAAGGGACTGGAAGGTTACAAAGGGCAGGTGCTAATCTATTTGGGGATTCTACAGACTTTCACCAGCTCACGCTGAGTGGAGCTGCATATAGGAGACTGATGAGCCCAAGAAACATGCCAGAGAGGCCAAGGGAGGAAACAAAGGGGGGGGGGGGAAGAAAATCATGGCCTAAGATGAACCAAAAACATTTCAGGATCCTCTGAGGAGTATCCTTTGGGCTGAGCTACAAAATCCCACAACACAGATATGTTTGCAGTCCTAAAACTGTCTTCTTAAAATCAAGTTGCATTTGTTATACAATTGACCATCCCTGTTCTTTTGCTCACTCGCATGTTAATTATATGCAAGAGCTGGCCCAACTTTGTAGGATGCACAATTTAAAAATCAACCCACAAAGAGAAGCAGCTCATGAGGTTTCACGTGTAAAACTACACACCCTTCTACCAGCAGAGATGGTAGAAAGGGAGGCTAGTCTCTTTCTGAATAATCTATTTCACACACAAAGATCCTGCATCAGGGTACACTAGCACAGATCCTTGTGGTCATGGAATCTCATAGATATACATTGATCTACATGAATACAGAAGTTTAGCCCAGTGGATCTTGATGCACATGCAGGGCCAAAAATCAGATTTCTTCTTTCTGTAAATTGTTTTATCCTCCATAATTTAGTTTAGCTATAAAAAGCTTATGTATTACTGCCGTACTTAGATTAAATATACAGCTAAAATATAATTTTACCCCATAACAGAAATTCATACTACAAGATCATTAAAAAAAGTCTTGTTTCAGTTTTGTTTTATATGTACGTCAGTAGTTATTATTTGCATAATATTTTGCTAATGTATCTTTACATAAGAGTTTAGGTAATTATAGTCTCAGACTATGGGCCAAAAATTCTACTCAGTTACACTGAATAAATATTTAATCTGTATTTATTTATGCAATGACTGACCCAGTTGTAAAGCAGAATATCATCCTGTATCAGCAATCTGAGAAATACTTTTCAATAGAAAGCATATATAAATCAAGAGTAAAATAAACTTTCCTGCCTCTAAAAAGTTTTTAAGACCGTTTACAGAGAAACCCCCTGCAGCACTGATGGCCTTAGCTAGGTCTCCCACAACCTCAGTCAGGTTGGTTTTTGACTCAAACATTTACAATCACCAAACACATCATTCTAAAAACAAAAAAGCCATTTTACTCAGCATCAAAGAGCTGCATTTTGTTTAGCTACTTACAAAAGATAGAGCAGAACAGTCTACATAACACCATATACTGCATTTATAGAGTCTTAACTTCACTTTCACCTCCAGGACTTGAGGATTTAGTACAGCTGATTAAGTCTATATCAAAGATGAAATAAAGATGTTTAAAATCAACTTGTCAAAGTACAAGGAAAGAATTGTTTAAAAAAAAAAAAAACAAGAGTATTTAGTTTCATTTATGATACTTTCTGGTGCTGACATGAGTTTAACACAGTAAAATATGTATGTAAATCATTGAGAGAAAAGGAGTTTACGTACCTGGGATTAACAGGAAATAGATCTGTAGTTTTCCAGATCTACTTTAATTACAAGTTTCCCAGTGCTGATGCAGTTTGGATCTCTTGAACACCACATCCATGCAAAGAAAGTTGGTTTTCATCTACAATGGATATCAATGGGGAAAAAACATGCAGTTTAGAAAAGTGTATTTAGACTCTAAAATCACCATTTGCACTCCGATGTTATGCTGCCTATATGGTAACATACAAGATCAACCAATGCCCTAAAAACATCACAACCCACCTAATTACTTTCAGCTGTTTGTCATGTGATCTTGCTGACTGATCAAGTGACTTCTTTTCCTCCTTTCACAAGTCTAGCAACCCAGTTAACTAGCCCATCTCTACCATCTAAATGTAAATGTATCAAACCTTTGCTTAACCCAGGGACCAAGTCTGAGTGTGTGTAGCTAAAAAAGAGTGCCTTTTATCTATTTTTAAATAAAACAAGCTACAAAAGGATGCTAGCCTATTATTGTGAGGTTTTTTTTTTTTTTTACTAAAATGTTTATAAATGGGACATCAGCCAGCATCAAGCAAAGCTCCCCAAATGTAATGAGCAATATCAGCTTCAAGCATGCTGGGTCCCTTACAACTGATCCATAACAACAAAACACAGACAACTTCCTTAAAAAACAAAACAAGGCAGGGCAATTTTCAGTTAAATAGGACATAGGACAGCAGTAGGACGAGAACAAGATGCCAGAGAATTTTAGTAAGTGTTTAACCGATGAGCATCGGACAGACAGACCCCTGCTCTGCACAGAGCACCACTGTAATCACCTCTGTGTGGGTGCAGGAATCCATCGGCATAGAGTCTGTTGCAGGCGTGGGGTGTTAACCATTAAACAGATATTTTCTTAAATATTTTTTTACACTTAAAATGAAGTTAGAGGCATTTCATCAGTATTGAAAATTTGCAGAATGGAGGACATGTCTATTATTTACTTCTATTTCTTCCCATACAAAAAAAAATATCACACAATACTAAGCAGTATAGCCATGTACATGCAGACGTTTCCCCCTCACAAAATAACGTTGCAGGCTGCATAGAGGGCTATACTCTACAGCACCATTTTACTATGGTTTTCAGACTGAAAAGTAAAAACCTTGGCTAACAGTTGTGGCTAGCACTGTTTCAATTATAGAATAGACGTGACTGCTCTATGGGAGTGCAAGTCTTACTTCCACTTTGAACAGCTGGTCACATTAACCTCTTCTGGAGTATTTTACTGCTTTCAGCTGGTGGATTTAATCCTTTAGCTCAAGCAACAGAGGTTTATGCTTTTATAGTGCTCTCTTGTGCAGGGCACTGTACAGACAGAAGAGAATTTGTTTTACAGCTTTGTTCAAATTATAGTTACAAATTTTACCTTGGAACGTAGTATATAAGAAAATATCAGTTTATGGATTTTTTTAGAACTCCACCAACTCAATAGTATTGACAGAACATTTTATAACAACTGTTCATTTTGTAAAAAGCTACAACAACGATCTAAAACACAGATTCCATGCTCAGTGCTAGCATCATGGTGCATATGTACGCAGCAATATGTCACTTGATAAATTAGTATCACAGTGTTTGCCAAAACCCCACCCATACATTAGCTCAGTCAGAAGGACAAGTTTAACAGTAGCAGGGTGGTGCCAGCGCAAAGCACTACCATCTTTTGTTGCTAGCAGTGGGAAGTTAAACATGAAAATTAAGCCAAGACTACAGGGTGTGAAGCTATAGGGGATCGAGACCCAAGAAGAGATTCCCATGAATTCATGTGAACTGAGATCACCAAGTTTTGCACAGCTCTATAGGATCTTCAGAGTCACTCATAGGCACTTCACATATTGAAATGATTTCAAAGGAGTCCCTTTAACTGATTAGGCACTTAAACCACATCTCCTCCAATAGATGCCAGATTACCTTTAACATAAGTCCCTTTCCTCCTTCAAGGCTCTCTCCTCACTATTTCTTGGTTTGCTCTTCTAGAGCTGAGAAGTAAGAGAAGATTTCTAAGTTTGTTCTCTGATTTAATTATTTAAAGCATGATGGGTAAAACATCCCACAGTGCAGAGGGCCCCTGTACCATTTATTTAAGCCTTGTATTTGTCCATTGCAAATGAAGCAGTCAAGCAGTAGGGTTTCCCCATCCCAAACAGGTTAGCATGGAGGCAGGTTGGGTCAGCAGCTAGTGAAGCCACAATTACATAGATCCAGTAGTCTTAATCCTTGCACAAATAGAACAGAGAGAGACTGCTGCTGCTACTACTTTTGCTCAAATACTGCAATCCCAAACTCTACTGCTGGACTGCGGGTGGATTTCATGCAGAAAGCCTAATTATTCCGACTTTATGTAAGTGAAAGGAAAAGACTTTAACCACACTTACTTCTGTTACTGAGGAATCCATCAAATTATCTTAACATGCTTGGAGTACTTACATAGGTAAATCCCAACTATTCAAAGCACATGTACACTATGATTGATAAATGCTTGTCAGCGAGAGCTGAGGGCATCAGTACTGGTCAGAAGGGGCTCAGTACCATGCAGTGCCAGGATGTTATTGATGTGATCTATTATTTTATGCTGGGCTTTGAATTTTATTTGAAAATATATTATATCTATTTTAATTAAGGAAGGATGGCTACTAGCAAACAAAAATGCACTATCGTTGGCATGATTAGTCTCCATTTGTACAACATTTTCAAGATACAAAGCACTATATAAAGTACTAAGATGTTAAAACAGATCTAATTTAACATGCACTTTTAAGGGGAAAAAAAATCTAGATAACTGATCAATACACCTCATTTGCTGGTGAATTTTACCTTAGAAATGCATACAATTATAAAATCATAACTACTTGGGCATTCACACACAAAACTGACTTCCTCCTTTTCTTAACCCATCTCTTTGATCTGTGCATGTTGTTCAGTACAGCCTAACAATACCAGGACTTACGTTTTTTATCAACTGGTTCTGGTCAAAATTAAGTGTTCACTTTAAGCCTCTCCATTCTGATCTGTGACAATGTGATGCAATTTATTTAATAAGTGTACAAAATACACTGTCTTGCAGACAGTCACTGGTCACCATTGCTTGAAAAATGTTGGGAGTATCTAATTTATTTAGAGATATCATGAACAGGGCCGGCTCTAGGCACCAGCAAAATAAGCTGGTGCTTGGGGCGGCACATTTTTAGGGGCGGCATGGCCGGCGCCAGAATGCCGCCTCTAAAAATGTGCCCCGGCCGCCGTAGCTCACCTCCGCTGCTGCTGCCACGGCGCGCGAAACAGCTGATTCGCGCGCGGCTACTCGCCCTCCCTCCCAGGCTCTCAAGCCTGGGAGGGAGGGGGAGCAGCGGCGCGCGAATCAGCTGTTTCGCACGCCGCGGCGGCTCGGGGTCTCCCCCCCCCTCCCAGGCTCTCAAACCTGGGAGGGAGGGGGAGATCCCGAGCGGCCGCGGCGCGGGCGCCGCTTCTCCCCCTCCCTCCCTCCTAGGCTTGAGAGCCTGGGGGGAGGAGGCAGGGCTGGGGATTTGGGGAAGAGGCGGAGTTGAGGCGGGGCCGGGGGTGGGGTAATTAAAGAACGGGGGTGGCCAAAATTGTTTTAGCTTTGGGCGGCAAAAATCCTAGAGCCGGCCCTGATCATGAATAACTGATAGGAAAACAATCCTGCAACTTTTACTTGCAGGAGTAATCACAAGTAGCCCCACTGAAGTCAGTGGTCCAATTCCTTAGTATTTTATTAGGTCAAACGCCCACTGACTTCAAACAATAATATGGCAGAATAAGAACTGGTACAAAAATTATGGACCAATCCTGCTCCCACTGACTTTCATGGAAGGAAAAATTAGACCCTTACAAAAGGGCATCTCAATTTCAATTGAAATAGTCTGGTGAATAAAGCTGCCCTCCATAAATATAGGTTTCAGGATTTGTACCCAGATTCTTAGAGGGTTTTTAATAGCTTTTATAGCTTACGTATTTCTGACACAAACCTGTTGCAGTCTCCTTCCAACACTACTTTGGTGTAGCTATATCAAGAAGTGCACTTGTACAGTGTAGCTCAAATCACAGTGTTATTGTCTTCTCCATAAAGCATCACAGAATTTACTTCAGTAGATTTCACAAATTCAGAACTAGACAGTAAGAGATCACTAATTCCAGGAGGAAGTGAACAGTCTGATAAATGGTTAGCCTATTGAAGTCTTGGGCAGCTCAACCAGGACTAGACATAACTACAGGCCCAGCCTGAAGAAAAAGACACAGGAAATTATATATATATATATAGCCACACTTCTATAGCACTTTACAGAGGACCACAAAGAACTTTGTAAAAGTGGGTAAGCAACATTATCTCCATTGTGCAAATGGGGAAACCCAGGCACTGTAGGAACCAGGACATGGGTGGTCCGGCCTAGTGGTCAGGAGGAGGAGTCTGGAGCAGAGAAATGAAATCGAGGGTGTGACACCCTGTACCCCATGTTCACCACTTCCATATGGTTATATATTTTGTACAAAGTATGCCTTGTGAGGTATCATTTGAAAACTCAATCTTCTGGATATTATTACCCTGTTAAAATGTGTGTGACAACACTGCATACAAAAGTATGAGATTTTGCTTTATGTTACTAAAATATGTTCTGGTTCTGGAGAATGCCTCCAGACTAGCTCTTCAGAAACAACAAAGAACTGACCACAGGTGTTAAGAAACTCTTAATTGCTTAGGCAGCAGAGATGATGTAAACAAGAAATTTATATTTCATCCCAGAGACTGTTCAAATCTCACGTACACAGGAGACTGTTCTACACCCCAGCAGGGGGTAATCCTGAAGGAGGAGGAGGAGGAGGGTATAAAAACAAGAGACTGTGACCTCTACATGACCCCCTTTTCCTCCCATCTCTCTGTTCATGACACCAATGAACACCTGAAGGACTCTGAACTGGGGGAGGGGTACATGGCTGAAAAGAAATCCAGTCTGAACTGTTGCAGCTTATGGGGAGAAAGTCATTTTGCTTTTAAGTTCATTTAGGTATTAGCTTGTGTTTTTATTTCTTCTGTAACCAATTCTGACTTTTATACCTTATCACTTGTAATCACTTCGAATCTATCTGTAGTTAATAAACTTGTTTTGTTTTATTATTTTATCTAAACCAGTGTGTTTGGATTGAAGTGTTTGGGAAGCTCTACATAGGATGACAAGACTGATGCATAATCGTTACCCAGTGTTGGAATGACGGACTTACTATGAGCTTATACTGTCCAGGAGGGTACTGAGCAGTGCAAGTTGCACATTTCTGGGAAACAAGGCTAAGACTGAAGAATATGCATATGTAATTCATGAATGGCTGGGAAAGCATTCATGTAACATAGCTGGGAGTGTTAGTGGCTGTATATGAGCAGGACCGGGAGAGGTGGCTGTTCACAGCACAGCAGTGTAAAAGGCACCCCAGACTAGAGAATTAAGGGGACTCAGCTATTCAACAAGACGAGGGTCAGAACCAGGTTACCTGGAGTCAAGGAAGGCAGGAGTAGGACTGAGTCTGAGGCAGGAATGAGGCTGGGACAGGGCTGAAATAAGGGAGTGGTAAGACTCGAGCATGGCAGAAATCATGGCAGAAAAGAGGGACTGGAACATGGCAGGAGCAGAAGTTAATGTAGCCCACAGCCGAATGCTTTGAGCAGCCAGCACTCTGCTGCTGCCCTTAAGAGTAGGTATGCTAATCCCTTCAGCCAAGTGGGGGAAAGAGGGTGTGTGACCAAACAGGCAACTCAGTTGTGGCCCAGATGTGCTTGTTAGACTGTCTGGGGGTTAAGCTGGCAGGTAAGCAGGCCAGCTACAGGCCCTTACACGTGACAGGCAGAGAGATGTCAAGCAACTTGCCTAAGGTCTTTCAATGAATCAGTGGCTGAGCCAGTCTCAGATTAGACCAGGGGTCGGCAACGTTCGGCACGCGGCTCGCCAGGGTAAGC